AAGCAAGTTTCTTATTAGATCTTCTAATAAGCAAGTTTCTTATTAGATCTTCTAATAGGAAGTTTCTTATTAGATCTTCTAATAAGTAAGTTTCTTATTGGATCTTTTAATAAGCAAGTTTCTTATTAGATCTTCTAACAAGCAAGAATCTTATTAGATCTTCTAATAAGCAAGTTTCTTATTAGATCTTCTAACAAGCAAGAATCTTATTAGATCTTCTAATAAGGAAGTTTCTTATTAGATCTTCTAATAAGCAAGTTTCTTATTAGATCTTCTAATAAGGAAGTTTCTTATTAGATCTTCTAATAAGCAAGTTTCTTATTGGATCTTCTAATAAGCAAGTTTCTTATTAATAATCAGGTATATTAATATAATATTTGAACCATTAGACAAATGCTGTTTGTGATATGGAAATATGTTTATTGAGTCTCAACAAACAAATGAATATGTTAAAGTATTGTATTTTTAATCGATTGAATACATTATACTATTTATATCCACCGAAGAAACTATAAATCATTTTTTTATTAGTTTTGTTTATTCGGAATTAGGTTCGGAGGTTGTAATGAAAGAAACAGAATTCCATTGGCCTTTTCTTTATATTATATAATACCGTACATTCTTACAGTTTTTCAATATTCATCTTTCACTAGGAGCCTACCCTGCTTACTCTATATTAATCTAATATGCGCATATATGTTTTTATTATATTTTCGAATACCTTTCACCATGCAAATCTTACAGAATATTAAACAAATATATAAAAACTATGCAATGAGGGCGCTTCGCGCCCATTTATATTTTTAATTTTTGCTCATGTTGTTTCAGAATTTTCTCTTCGGCAAAGCATTAATACATTTTTTCTGATTTACAATTTTTTCGTGGATTTACAAAATTTTGTAATTCTAAGCATCTATAAACCTTCCCTGGGGCCATGTCAGGTCCTTCACAAAATTTGGGCCCGATCGGTACAACCGTTTTGACGTTTATCAGTTACAAACCAACAAACAGACAAACAAGCAAAGTATAAATATAGACTGAGCTTTTAGAGCGCTTCGCGCCCATCTTCTATTTCAATTTTAAACATTTTCTCTTTGAATACATTGTAAAACAAAAACAAAACCAAAAAATTTGCGGATTTTATAGAAAAAGTTTCGTGGATTTTCAAAATTTTCAAATATTAAACTTATTTAGAGGCCAATTTTTGAAATTTCGATCATCCATAAACCTTCCCTGGTTTCACGCGAGGTCCCACAAAAAATTTGGTCCCGATCGGTTCAGCTGTTTTGACGTATATTGGATACAAACAAACAGACACCCAGACAAGCAAAGTATATATATTTGGTTTAGCTTTTGGTTTCCTGGTTTATGTGTTCTGAAGAAGTCAAAACAGCCCAATTTCACTATGGCCGGTCAGGGCTCAAGATAAAAAAATTCCCTGAAACTTATAAAATTTTGTCTGATTTAATTTAATTTCAACTAATTATCCGTTGATAGAGTGGCATGTCCGATTCACAACGGTTCCCTTAAAGACTTTGATTAATCAAGAGTTTCAGAGATATCAGTCATCTTCTCTTTATAAATTGATTATTTTCAATTGTGGTTTCCGTTAAGCAACTTGCGCATTTATGCTTTAGATATGATATGGGCGGAAATTGTCAGAATTAAACACTTTCAGAGCTAAAATAAATATTCTCCTGTGTCCAGATCTGTAATACATCTTCCCAGGCTCTTTCATTTATAATTTAATGCTGATGATATACATTTTTATATCTTGGCTGCCCTTATTATACCATGTTATTAAGTCATCCTGAAATTCATTTTGTCCCAGCTGCCCGGGATAAAATAACTTGAGCCGAGGTGAAATATTTTTAGCAGAGATATAATATGCATTGCTTCCCTGCTGCCGATTTTATATCCCGGCTAGTAATTGCAAGCATCATAATAAATACTATATCAAACTTTATTACAATCAGAGCTGAAAACTTTAGAATGGTGGATATCGGGATTAATGCTTAATCCACTCTTTTTCTTAATCTCGAGATTAAATATTGCTTGTTCTCCTCTCATTTTTAATCTCCAGATTAATTTTCCGATCAGGATTAAGGATATCCCATTCTAAAGTTTTCAGCTCTGGTTATATAGTTTCTAAATATAGATACGGTATTCCCCCTGCTCTCTATAAGAGTAAACTAATTATGATACATTATAGATTAAGTATACAATTATTAATAAAACTTTTTAAATAAAAGCTAGCTTTGAATAAGGTATTTAAACATATTGAAAAATAAATAACATATTGTTATTTTTAAAAGTGACATTTAATATCATGATAAAAACTCTTTAAGATTGCAAGACCATGCTGAATGCAGTTTTTTACTTATAATTTTTAATTTTTAAATTAAAGAAACTATCAATATTATTGTAGACACCCTGTAGTTTATTGACCCAATATTATTGTAGACACCCTGTAGTTTATTTAATCCAATATTATTGTAGACACCCTGTAGTTTATTAACCCAATATTATTGTAGACACCCTGTAGTTTAGTAACCCAATATTATTGTAGACACCCTGTAGTTTATTAACCCAATAGTATTGTAGACACCCTGTAGTTTACTAATCCAATATTATTGTAGACACCCTGTAGTTTAGTAACCCAATATTATTGTAGACACCCTGTAGTTTATTAACCCAATATTATTGTAGACACCCTGTAGTTTATTTAATCCAATATTATTGTAGACACCCTGTATTTTATTAACCCAATATTATTGTAGACACCCTGTAGTTTATTAACCCAATATTATTGTAGACACCCTGTAGTTTATTTAATCCAATATTATTGTAGACACCCTGTAGTTTATTAACCCAATATTATTGTAGACACCCTGTAGTTTATTAACCCAATATTATTGTAGACACCCTGTAGTTTATTAACTCAATATTATTGTAGACACCCTGTAGTTTACTAACCCAATATTAGTGTAGACACCCTGTAGTTTATTAACCCAATGTTAGTGTAGACACCCTGTAGTTTACTAACCCAATATTAGTGTAGACACCCTGTAGTTTATTTAATCTAATATTACTGTAGACACCCTGTAGTTTATTAACCCAATATTATTGTAGACACCCTGTAGTTTATTAACCCAATATTATTGTAGACACCCTGTAGTAACCCAATATTATTGTAGACACCCTGTAGTTTATTAACCCAATAGTATTGTGGACAACCTGTAGTTTATTAACCCAATATTATTGTGGACACCCTGTAGTTTATTAACCCAATAGTATTGTGGACACCCTGTAGTTTATTTTCCCCGAAACATCTGTGATAAATCATCAAATCATTGATACTGAAGATTGTGTCCAAGGATGCATGAAAACAGTCTACATAGAATAAAATGCTAGGGGGAGATAAATTCTTGTTTTCAACGATATTTACATTTTTACTTGAACACATGTTTTATGCATTTGAATTACATATATCAAAAACTCTTTCAGTTCCTCTGTCTTCTTCTTATTTTGAAGAGACTCTAAGCGTAATTTCCTAAGTTAGAGGATTTAAAAAAAAGTTAAAAAAGTATGTCGGAAAATTGTTCAAAAATTATCATTTTTGATTTTGACAAATATTAACACCTTAAACATGGTATTACAGTAATTTTTCAAGGGCTTTTCAAATATATAAACTTTAGCTCTGTAGCTTAATTAATTAAAAAGTTATTAAGCATTTCTGATTTCTTTAAACGCCGACCCGCCTTTTGAAATTTTTAGCTAAATTTGTTGACAACTATAATGATGTTGAAAAAGTAAAGAAGTTTGAGCGTTAAGCCGTTCTTAAGTTATTTAGAAAAAAAACACAGGGGGATGGAAAACACATCCTTGATAGGGTTAAGAAAGCTTTTTGTCTAAGTATAAAAACTATTTTTTAGCCTTAAATCAAAAATTTTTGAAATATGGACAAATGGACGGTATCGAGCGGTTCAAGACACATCTTTTGACATCCATTTCTACATGTTTTGAAAAAAAAAAAAAAATCAACCTTCCCTCATTTTCTATGTTCTTTTTTCGTTGATTACTGAATGAGTTTTGATTTTTTTCAATTTTTTTTCTTTGATAAAGGTGGCTTCTATTTTGTTGCTGTATATTTTTTTCGATGAAATGATGCATTGAAGGTTTACTAGTGTTAAAATTAAAATTAGTAAAATCCCTATATTTTTACAACCTGATGTGTAGATCTTAGCTATTGAAAAATATGAATTCGGCTGGATAAATAGCTAAAGTTATAAAAGTTTACACTAACAGTTTTTTTAAAATATTGAGATTAGAAATTTAAGGGTTCAGACGATAAATCATTTCTTTCTCGATTCTACAATCTACAGTGGTAAGCGATTATATCAATACAAGGACGACGACGTTATTATTTAAGTTTTAATTGTTAAGAAGCTTTTTTAGAACTACAAGTTTACAAATAATCAAAGAGAATCTTTTTTAATTGATAGCTTCTCTTGACTTCCATGTTTATGTGTATCTATGCTATTTAACAGCTTAATTAAAATAAAAATTTAAATCGAAAGTCGTCTTCATTGAATTGGTATAATTGCCTCCCATTGTTTACATATTCCTCGAACCTAAACAGTTTCCGAAACTAAAATGTTTGAAGATAAAATCCAACTTTTACAATGTTCTCTGCTAGGATGATATGACGGATGAATCTGGGAAGGAGATTGATGTTTTGAATAATTCCCTGATGGTAAACTGTCCCTACACTACAGCAGACTGGAAGCTGGAGCTCCTAGCTTACAATATTCCAGTCTTTCTTCTCCTGGCCTGTAATACTGTCTTTCTCATCTGGATAATGGCGGTAAGATAAAATTCATTATTTGAGCTTCATCATTTCTGTAGCATCTGAGCTCCAGTATTTCTCTAGTATCTGAGCTCCAGTATTTCTCTAGTTCTGAGCTCCAGTATTTCTTTAGTATCTGAGCTCCAGTATTTCTCTATTTTCCGAACTTCAGTATTTCTCTATCTTCCGAGCTCCATTATATCTCTGGTATCTGAGCTCCATTATTTCTCTAGTATCCGAGCTCCAGTATTTCTTTAGTATCTAAGCTCCAGTATTCCTGTAGGATCTCAGCTCCAGTATTTCTCTATTTTCTGAACTTCAGTATTTCTCTATCTTCCGAGCTCCATTATATCTCTGGTATCTGAGCTCCATTATTTCTCTAGTATCCGAGCTCCAGTATTTATCTAATATCTGAGCTCCAGTATTTATCTAATATCTGAGCTCCAGTATTTATCTAGTATCTGAGCTACAGCATTTTTCTAGTATCTAAGCTCCAGTATTTATCTAGTATCTGAACTCCATTTTTTCTTTAGTATCTGAGCTCCAGTATTTCTTTAGTATCTGAGCTCATGCAGTATTTCTCAAGTATCAGAGTCCTAAATTTCTCTCTAGTATCTGATTCCAGTTTATGTTTAGTATCTAAGTCCAGTATATGTCTAGTATCCAAGTCCAGTATATGTCTAGTATCTAAGTCCAGTATATGTGCAGTAAATGAGTCTAGTTTTTGTTTAGTATCTGAGTCTAATATATGTGTAGTACATGTCTAGTATCTGAGTCTAGTATATGTGTAGTACATGTCTAGTATCTGAGTCTAGTATATGTGTAGTACATGTCTAGTATCTGAGTCTAGTATATGTGTAGTACATGTCTAAGTATCTGAGTCTAGTATATGTGTAGTACATGTCTAGTATATGACCAAGTATATGTCTAGTATATGACCAAGTATGTATTTATTCCTAGCATCTAGATTTGGATATAACTGGCAGGTTGAGCTCCGGCTCTATGTTTGTATTGTAATTTGTAATTTTGTTCTATTCCACACTGCTGGTTCCAATCTATTCCTTCTCTACTATTTAACGTTCCTGGAGAAAACTGAACCTGGCCGAAAACAAATTATTCTCTGTTTGCGAAGGTTTAGGATATCAGGTTCCAAAGTAAACATGAGAATTTCTTTGTTGAAAAATTTACATTTTCAACGTTTTTTCCGGGTTTTAAATCCATTCTCTCTTTAGTATTTTACTTGAATAACAGAGCTAAGATATCTTGATCAAGTTCTTATTATACTTCACCGGCTGTACAGCTTGCCTCGACTTTCCTAATCCTTAAATCTTAGTAACCTAAAGACCTTTGATCATTAGAATTATTGTATCTCTCGATCTCTAAAGGTTTTACACCGTATATATAGCATATTATAAGATTCAAATTAAGAGTTTGAGAGAAGTGTTCAGTTTCTTTTATATATTTAGTTTGTGAGGTTCAATAAAAATAGGAAATTAACATATAGCGTCAATTTAAATTTTTAAACTCTAACATAAAATTGTAATTTATTGAGACAATGCAATTTTTGATCGCCCTCAACCAATTTACAGGGAACATTCCCTTAATAAAACATTCCCTTAATAAAACATTCCCTTAATAAAACATTCCCTTAACAAAACATTCCCTTAATAAAACATTCCCTTAATAAAACATTCCCTTAATAAAACATTACATAAAACAAAAAATAATTGTTAGAATCTAATACAGCTTGATACTTTTCTTGACAACTACTCTAACTAAGGATGTTTAAAATGATTTAAACTTAACCCTGTATAAGGTTGTGATCTCCAAGCTGAGAATAAACCAAGGAGCAGTCAGCGATCATTTTCATTTCCGAGCAGCAAAAGCCCTGATCGTGATCGTTCCTCTGTTGGGGATCACATACCTGATCATGATCGTTGGGCCACGGGAACCAGATTCCATATTTTCTCTACTCTTTATCTATACCCGGAGTATTCTACTCTCTTTCCAGGTAATCCATATTGAACTATACCCGGAGTAATATTAATTGGTTTCAGAAAACACTTCTATTACAGTTTATCCTAGTAGAGACAAGACAAGTAAACAGAGGAGTAAACAAATATATTCTTTAAACCTTACTATACTTCTATATATACTTTGCTTGTCTATTTCTTTGTTTGTAACCGATTAACGTCAAAACGTCTGAACATGATTCCAGAGAAGGTTTACGGATGGTTAGAAATGAAAAAATTAGATTTTACAAAATCCACGAAAAAAAGATAACAGAGCAACAATTTTAAGCTGAAGTTTGGCGCGAAGCGCCCTTAAAGCCTAGTCTTTTAAGAAAACTCCATACTCATATTTTAAAAAAATAGAATATACCGTGAACTTTGATTCTCTAAAATCTGTAATCAATATTAAACGTGGACTAATCAACATTATTCTAGGGATTCTTCATCAGTTTACCCTACTGCTTCTTAAACAGTGAGGTTCAAGGAACTGTGAAGATGCACTGGGATCGGTGGCAGACAACTAGAGACGTTGGAACAGTTTCTCAATCTGCCAGGAACTCAGTTGTAACTGCAGGATTTATCACAGTCTGTGATAATATATCCAGGAGCAGGTAATCACAGGGATCAGGGTTGAACCAGGGAAGGGACGGAGAAACTTTCTCTTTTGGGTAAAAAATATCCGCAGTATGGGTTATACTTTAGAAAGATAAGATTGAGGAACAATTGACAGGATTTGGAATAGGAAGGGGAGTTGGGGGGATGTACTTTGCTAGAGTTAGGTTGTAGCAACAAAACATTAATTTAATGTTTATCCTGAGAACAGTTTTATGGATTTCTATACTTTTATTCCACATAAACTATTCCCTCTGCAGTTAAATGGGTTGAGGGAGTATAAAATGTTGACTAAGGTTTTGAAAACTGATGGTTTAGCTTCACCGTAATATTTACATGATTGATGTTCATTGTTCCCTCAGGAAAAGCTGAAAAAAACCAATATCTAGATCCATTATTCTTCTATATTTAGCTCCATTCAACCCGGCCAATATACAGAGTAATACATTCATTCATCCTTACACCTTTATACCCTTTACCTACCTACACCTTTATATCCTTTACCTCCTACTCCTTTATATCCTTTACCTACCTACACCTTTATATCCTTTACCTACCTACATCTTTATATCCTTTACCTACCTACATCTTTATATCCTTTACCTACCTACATCTTTATATCCTTTACCTACCTACACATTTATATCCTTTACCTACCTACAACTTTATATCCTTTACCTACCTACACCTTTATATCCTTTACCTACCTACACCTTTATAGTCTTTACATGCCTTCACCTTTATATCTTTTATATATTGTATAATGTATACCTAAACCTTGATTAAATATTTTAAATAAACATTTTATGATAATTTTAATATTTCAGAGCCTACACCTACCAGACAGTTCGTAACTCTATCATAGATCGGCGAGGAACAGACGAGAGTCAGAGAGCGAAGGGTGGACTTCTTATGAGTAGTGTTGGACCACTTGACGGACCTATTGTGGACCAAAACCTTAATTCTTCAGCCCAATTAAACTCTACACCTCTGATATGTCGTCACCAGACCACAATTGTTGAAAGACATAATAACTCTTCCCCACGAGCTAACCGACGCCAGAACTCTTCGCCTATAGTTGGTAGGCATCAGAGGCAACAGAACTCTTCCCCTCTAGTTGGCCGGGTAGACTGGCATTACAATAATTCATCTTTAACAAGTGACCTAATACAGAACTCTTCAAGTAATCCTCATATTACCAATTCGTCATCAATGGTGGGACGACATTTAAACCAATCCTCGACGGTTATAAATGGTAACGGTAACCAAATAGAAGAGGAGACAAGATTCTCAAATTGAGCTGTATTCATAGTTTCACTTCTCTTCATTGGGGGTAGGATGGAGGGAGAGGGTTGAAGGATAGATGAAGAAGAGTGTTGAAGGATAGATGAAGAGGGTTGCAGGATAGATGAAGAGGGTTGAAGGATAGATGGAGAGGATTGAAGGATAGATGGAGAGGGTTGAAGGATAGATGTGGAGGGTTTAAGGATAGATGAAAAGGATTGAAGGATAGATGAAGAGTGTTGAAGGATAGATGAAGAGGGTTGAAGGATAGATGAAGAGGGTTGAAGGATAGATGAAGAGTGTTGAAGGATAGATGAAGAGGGTTGAAGGATAGATGAAGAGGGTTGAAGGAGAGGTGAAGAGGGTTGAAGGAGAGGTGGAGAGGGTTGAAGGATAGATGAAGAGGATTGAAGGATAGATGAAGAGGATTGAAGGATAGATGAAGAGGATTGAAGGATAGATGAAGAGGGTTGAAGGATAGATCATGAGTGTTGAAGGATAGATGAAGAGTGTTGAAGGATAGATGAAGAGGGTTGAAGGATAGATGAAGAGGGTTGAAGGAGAGGTGGACAGGGTTGAAGGAGAGGTGGAGAGGGTTGAAGGATAGATGAAGAGGATTGAAGGATAGATGAAGAGGGTTGAAGGATAGATGAAGAGGATTGAAGGATAGATGAAGAGGGTTGAAGGATAGATGATGAGTGTTAAAGTATAGATGAAGAGTGTTGAAGGATAGATGAAGAGTGTTGAAGGATAGATGAAGAGGGTTGAAGGATAGATGAAGAGTGCTAAAGGATAGATGAAGAGGGTTGAAGGATAGATGGAGAAGAGTGAAGGATAGATGAAGAGTGTTGAAGGATAGATGTGGAGAGGGTTGAAGGAGAGGTGGAGAGAGTTGAAGGGAGGATTGGAGGATAGATGAAGAGGGTTGAAGGATAGATGAAGAGTGTTGAAGGATAGATGAAGAGTGCTAAAGGATAGATGAAGAGGGTTGAAGGATAGATGGAGAAGAGTGAAGGATAGATGAAGAGGGTTGAAGGAGATGTGGAGAGGGTTGAAGGAGAGGTGGAGAGAGTTGAAGGGAGGATTGGAGGATAGATGGAGATGGTGAAAGATAAGTGCTGGATCAATGCTACATGAAAAGATCATGATATAAATCTTCATCATTGTGAAGTTTATTCTATTGTCAGATAAAATATAAACGTTTATGCCGTGTGCCAATATAATATCTAATATCTGTCTTTTTATAAATTTTCTCTAATAATTAAACATCTCTAGTCTTCTACCGCTTGCATTCTGTTCTATGAACAGACCCCCCCCCCTCTTAGAAAAACCAGATTAAAAATAAAAATTTTACCACAAAATACTCCTTCCGACGTATTTTTGTCTTTTTTTAGATCGTATCGGAGGAGACAATTTAGTTTCAAAACTAAAGATTTCCTAAAACTTGCTTTAAATTTACATTTTTAATCTCTCGCGTTGGTCTAATACCACCTGTAAAATATCATTTTTTGTCCTGAACTCCCTAAATATTTCATGGTTCAATTTCGAAATTGTTTGGATATTTCTGGAGCACCGAAAACTGAATGAATATTTTCCAAATTAAGCATGTTTGAGTTTGGCACTACTGTTACTTGCATTTTGTAAGCTGTAAAATATTATTGAAATCAAAAAATGTAATTTTTAGAATTTTAGTAAATGTTCATTGAGAAGTGTAATATTTTTAAGATTTTAGCGAAGAGCGTCTATTTAGTTAGATGTGAATTTACTATTGTACCAAAACCATAATTAATTTATAATAATTCATTGTTATTCTTATTTTCAAATTTCGGAAGAAAATTTCTCTTTCTCGCAGTTAAGACTGCTATATATTGGTTAAAATATCAGAGTGTTGATAAAAGTACAAAATGAAACTTGGATTTAAATCTAAACTAAAATGTAAGCTTTTGAATATTGTAGCTAAATGTAGAGATCTTTATAAATAAATTTAATGTATGTAATATTGTTTTTATACTGTGCAGGATAAACCTTGATTAAACTCCAGGATATAGTGTCCCCCCATAAACCTAAACCAGGCTATAAATATAAAAATGTCGTTGCATTTAGTAAGATTGATAAAAACACACTAAACTAAACCAAAAAGAAATGGATTTTATTTATTGTATCCCACAACAGAGATGAAGAGAGACAGAATGAAAATAATTTTATAAAATTTTTGATTTGTTAACAAGAACCAGACGAAAGAGATTCCTTTCCACCAGAACTAATGTAGTTTGGGTTTATTCCCTCAAGATATAATGCAGGGGAATGGGAATATTAACCAAACCAGGGGGGGGGGGGTAGAGAGAAAGGAAGAGAAAAGGATGGGGGAGAGTTATTTTTTCTAGATATTTCTTTGATGTAAAAAAGATTGTTTTCAAAACAAATTCTGTTTTACACGATTAACAACATTCATTAAAAACTGTCCTTGCTTTGGCACGAAATAAAACATTGAAAGAAAAAATTTGTTAGAAAAATATTTGGTTATACGAAGCCATATTAAATTTTGAGATCATCATTTTTTATTTGATCTTCTGAAAAACAGAAGAAACCCACAGGTACTTATTATAAAAACTGGGCCGTTTTTTGAGAAAAGAAGAATGGATGAAAATCATAGTTGGAAACCCCTATTCTCATTTAACACTATTTTCCCTGGGGACCCCTTTAAGTCGCCTCTGTGTTTGTTAATTAAAAGGATTGTAAGTGTAATTTCAAGTGACCTTTCATGCAAGCATGAATTATATTTGAATGTAATAATTTTTAAATTGTTCCTTTTCCATTTTATTTTCTCTGCAAAAGTGAATTGCGTATTTCTACCACAGGAAAACATAGAAGAGTTATCAGAATCAAATACATTCAGACAGCTAGTAAATAAACGAAAATTTCTTCCACTGTATTAATCAGATAAAGGTTTCAAAGGTACGGTTGTGAATCGGGCATTGCCAAATGTTCATGGAGGGTCACTTGAAAAAAACGCTCACGCTTCCTTTAACCAAATTTCTATGAATGAATAAAGTTGATCGACTTGTAATGCTCTAGACAAATTTGAAAATAATTTGATGAATTTTAAAATAAAAGTTTAACTATTATTTCCAGAAAACATTTTCCGAGTTGAAATTAGTTTCATGGTTTAGAAGAGTTGGATTGGTTACCAGGCTGTCAGAGTTTCATTAGTTTCAGCATTCATCATTTTATACATTTAAACATTTAAACTTTAGGAAAAAAGTAGTTTTTTTTTAAATAGCAGATTTTAAAGGGACCGTTCACTTATTTGGGTAATTTCAGGGTAAACTAAACAGCCTATTCGCTCTTGATTGGTAATAGTCTTACTTTTCGAAGACAACTGTGGCCGGAGAATAAGCCGATTTTTCGTTCCGAATAAATGGACGGGCCCTCTCTCTAGACAATATTTGATGTTTTTTTTCAGTAACAGCAGCCCAATAATATTTAAATTTATTATATTTTAATGTCATTATGTGTCCGTTATTATGTACTAAAATATGAAAAATTTTGATATTTGAGTTAGCAAGAAATTTATGTTTTTCGTATTAAAACATGTAAAATGTGTATACAAAGACGACGTCTCTACGACAATCAATTAATCATTACTCGATTTTGCATTAGAGGTCTAATATGAGACCATAGGAATAATAATACCCTTTTTTAAATGCATAGGATGCATAGTTGCATAGTTTATATACATTTAATATATCATTATTGTCATACATTCATATATAACATGAAACTTTATGTATTTATTTATAACATAGGATGCATAGATGCATAGACTTATATAAGAAAATAAATACAAGTTTATATACTGCTGCAAAGGATGCATAGCATAGATGCGTAGACTTTTATCAGAAATATTATTATTCAAATCTAATTATTGGGTCAAATGTGAGACAGAAATTAGCAATAATGATCACAATTAATTTAATAAGATTAAAAACTATTTAGTTCAGATTAAGTAGCGTTTCAATAAATAATATAATTAAAGACATTTGAGTTAAAAAGTTTGGTATTACAAATATTAATTAATAACAAATAATTCTCAAAAAAGACTAGTATTAGGAATTATAAGATCAAAATCAGTAATGTAAAAAATTTAAAATAAAATAAAAATCTTTTGTAAAATAAACATTTTAATCACATGGGGCGACTAAAACTTTGTCAACTTTGGCCTGTGGTAATTTGGGCTTTAATCCATTTTCAAAACACCACATGGTATAACAATTTCTTGCCTTCACAAGACAATGCAAAAAGAAATGATATGTCTCTTGTTCATAGAGTTCAAAACCTTTTTGAATTTACCCAACTAGATAAAAGTTTGTTCAGCTGACTCGGTATTGTGATGATCAAAAGTTTCCTGTAATTGTTGAACAACTTTTGGATAATTTTGCCTACAAGATTCTCTGACATGGTTCTAAAATTTAGACTTAATAGAATGGTCTACCAACCACTTAATTGTCTAACAATGTTTTCATAAGGTAAAGTTGTAAAATCAATATTTTAGATAAAGCTCATACGCAGTAATTGATTAGACTATTCTATTAAGTTAACTTGATATGCAGAGCATCTACTCCTTTTGTAATATTATTAAACACAGAAATTATGTTATTATTATATATAATTTGTAGGTATGCAGCAGAGACATAAAACATTGTTTTAAGAATTCAATATGTAATAAGAGAGTCTACACTCTACAGTCCCTTAAATTATAAATAATTTTCTAAATTCCTAGTTTAGCCTCAGATGTTAACTGGGATTGATCACAGTCCCAAAGCTATAAACGTTCAAGATTACACTTAATTATGATTGAATTTTTGTTTTAAAATCAATTTGAAAAAAAAACACATTGCAATTTAAGATCTAAGACACAAAAATCCAACCATATTATCGTAAAATAAAAATTTATCATCTATATTTTTGTATTCCTTTAGATAAAGCTCACAGTATTTAATTGTTGGAATTCCTACTTTCGATGTACTTTCAGATTTGTATAAAGGTGACCAATATCTAATAAGATTAGGTAAGGTTGGAGTGGCCGACAGGTAAAAATAACTAGATATAGGTGCAATGGGGGGGAGGGGGTTATTCGGGTAAGATAGGTCAAGGATTAATATAAATTTTTTATACAACCATAAACTTGTATGTATTTTCTTATATAAGTCTATGCATCTATATGCATCCTATGCAGCCGTATATAAACTTGTATGTATTTTCTTATATAATCTATGCATCTATGCATCTATGCATCTATGCATCTATGCATCTTTTCATCCTATGCAGCCGTAAAAATCGGCTTTTTCTCCGGCCACAGTTGTCTTTGAAAAGTAAGACTATTACCAATCAATAGCGAACGGGCTGTTTAGTTTACCCTGAAATTATCCAAATAAGTGAACGGTCCCTTTAAATGTTCACCTAAAAAAGTAAATAGTTGATGACATTCGATTCCTCCTCCTTCCGGTACATGTTATTCCCTTCCTCCTCTCTCCAGTTCATGTTATTCCCTTCCTCCTCCCTCCAGTTCATGTTATTCCCTTCCTCCTCCTTCCAGTTCATGTTATTCCCTTCCTCCATCTTCTAGTTGCTTATATTCGCTTCATGTCCACCCAATTGACTCTAAGATACAAGTTTGATGTTTTAAGACATATACAGAGAGAAACTTGCACTGCAGTGAAGACTCTAGAAATACTAGATTTTGAAAATATCTTAATATGAAAACTGAGGTCAATTTTAATATGAAGGATAGGCCTTGTCTAATACTCTACTTATATAATTCCCTCTCTTTAGATATTCCCTTCTTTTACGTAGTTTGAGGATTGTGTTTATCCTCTTCTCTCTATCCTCTGTAAGAAGGATCTTAAATGGATCTAAAAACACTTCATACCAATATACCTATAGTACCCAGTGTATAGAAAACAACCTTATATATAAACATAAAACATAATATCAAGAATGATCAATATAGAGTCCAATAAATCATTACTCTTTAATGTTTCTTTAGTTTATTAGTTCCAATTTAATTAAAGACTGTTCCTGCAAAAAAAAACTATTTTGTCATTGATCATGATCTTAGACATGATCAATGACAAAATATCTTTGTTATCTATGCCGAGATCTTAACATATGAACTATCCTGTTCCGAGACCGCCCAAGCTCTGATTTTCCAATCCCTATATCTTTGCAATCCAATGTAATAGACCTTAGATATTTCAAAATAAGAAATCTGTTTGATCAAATAATTTAAGCTAGAAATATTAAATATTCACAACATCAGGTTGATGACTCAATTCTTTTAAAAAATATATTGAAAATTGCAAATGAACTGATTACTCGTGGACCTTAGATATTTCAAACTAAGAATTCTGCTAACACTAACAGTCAAAGTTCGAAATATCAGAGGTTTACACCATCAGGTTGCAAAGACATAGGTTTCAGAAAAATCTAGTTTATTGCAGTAATCAGTTCCTTTAAACGAATATTTTAAGAAGATAAATGATGTGATGGGCGCAAATGTAAACTCAGTAAACAAACTACCTGTTTGAAAGGAAGGGGGCAGTACATTTGCAATAAACAATTTGCATTAGATCATTTCGGGGATTTTCAATTTTTGTGTAAATAAAATAAAATTCTAGGTAATTCTGGGATGAGATTTAAAAATTTCCTGCCACCCTAATGAGAAGAATGCATAACCTTTACCAGGCTCGTAGCTATAAATTTTAAAAAGAAGGGTNGAGGTAGTTAATAAGGGAGCGCGGCGCAGGCCAAAACTAGATTTTTAACTTATCACACATTATAGTTTATTAAGATAGAGATTTTGCCTGTTTTCTTTCACTTAAGCGCTATTGAGAAGCTATTTTAATCAAAATTAAAAAGAAACTGGGGGTATTTAATATGTAGAGATTTGAGTTTATTACAAACGGCTTCTCCTAAACCTGGCCATATTTTGTATATAATTTAAATTTGTCTCCATGCTACCTTTTGCTGTACGATGTTTTATTAGAAAAAATAATCTCAGAAAAGAAGGATAAGCTTCTCAAAATACGAAAAAAGTTTTAACCTATCATTTAACAACACAGGATCAGGGGTCCTTATAATTCCCAAAAAAGCTGATTTTCTCGATCCAAAAATAATTTTTTGCCCCCAATTGTAAAAAAACATTTTCAAATTTCACTAAAACATTTGCCCCCATTGCCCCCAATTTGAAAAAAATGCCCCCAATTAAAAAAATTTAAATAAAAATGCCCCCAAATTTTTTTTAAATTATCATTTAAAAAAAATTTGCCCCCATTTCTTTCAAATGGGATTGAAAAAGGAATTATATGGACCCCTGGACAGGATAGGAATAAAAATTTCAAAAAAAATTATTTCAGAAAGCACTCAATTTTTCTTAAATTTGAAGATAAGCCTTTACACATAATATTGATAACAAAAATTAGATTTTCTTCTCTTTTTCTTCTTTCTTTCATTTTTCGTTTCCTTCTTTTCACTTTTTCACTTTCTTTTTTTGTCTCAGAAAGTGTGCCCCCCCCCCTGTGCCCCCTTTCTTTATGGTAATTTTTTAAATTTTGATCATCCATTAACCTTCCTTGGGGTCATGTAAGTTTCCCCTTAAAAAATTTGGACTCGATTAGTTCAGCCGTTTTGACGTTTATTGGATACAGACAAACAAACAGACAAGCAAAGTTTAAATATCCTTAAATAAATATTTCCAAACGGGTTTCATTCTATTTATCCTACAATACCCCATCATAACACAATTAAATTGTACAACAATTATTTTATCAACTTTCAATTAAACCCGCTCTCTAAGATGTCAACTACATTAAAATATTATGAAAACCATATATTTTTATTTACAAAGATGAAAGACTTCATTGTAATGGGATGTAAATTAATACAAAAAGCCTGAAGGCTATTTTTGTGCAATGCATAATTTTAGCAAATAAAATATTTTATTCTGTTTCTCGTATTTGAGATACAGGGGTTGGAACTTTTGAAGTGTTAATCCCTCAAAATGTACGAATTCGTATTTTTTAAAAGATATCTGTAAAGTTCCAATTATAAACCCACAAAAAAATCTGCTCTCGGCCAATAAGAAAATCTTGAAAATACGAAATATTTATTTTTGGGATTAAGCACTTAAGCCATGAAATTAAAAAGTTTAAGTTCAGTCATTCCAACCTTTAAGAGTAACGCGAGTTTGTATTTAAAAAATATAACAGTTTTTTCTTTTCGTGGACTTTTTAGAAATGTCAAGTTCTGAGGAATCATCATACGAATGTATTAAGTTCCAAGTATGACACGCCTAAAGTTATTCAATATCCTGACTACTATAGGATTAGAAAGATACATCAGGAGCCCCCAAACGGTGGGTTTTTTGGGGGGGGTCAGGGGGGGGGGTGACTGGTTTTTGTCAGAGAACTATTTCGAAAAAAAACATATACTTTATAGCCTTTTTACAAGAAATTACAACGGATTCTGGATAATCTAGATATATAAATAGATTAGTTATTAATTAACAATTATTACGTATTGATTTGGTCTCTGATTTGTGTTTTTAAAATACCCATTTTAAGAGTTTTCACGAAAAATACCAGTTTTCCCTCGGATTTAAAAACGTCAAAACAACATTATACTATGACTTAGAGACTAAAGTGACCGAGCCTTATTTGACCCGAATAAGAGGATTATACTGTAAACTCAATATTACTGATACCCCATTTTACCCCGTATAATTATTAACAAATAAAATAATCAACAGTTTCTGGTATCTCATTTTATCAACTGTTGATTTTCAAGCCGCCATATTTCCATTGTATTCCAATAAAAAAATATTTTCGCAGATTTCTCTGTATGAATTAGTGGATTTTTCTATTTCATAATTCATAATCTTTCTTGGGGTCATTTCGCATTTGAGTTGACATTTCTTGGATACAAACAGACAGACAAACAAAAGTTATATAGATATAACGCATTGAGTTTATATTCTGTACACTTAACGGTAATCTCAACAGAAGTGAACTATTTAGAGAAGTTCAAACTAAAATTATGTTCACAAACAATTTTTAGTGTCAGGACTCCGTCCGAATACTAAATATCAAATCTTGAATCTACAGAAATAAGCAGAGCCATTTTTAAATATTTCGACAATAAAATACTAAAAATGATATTAAAATAAAAATTCTATAAAAACGAAGCATCAAGACATGAAAAAATCTTAGAATCTTCAAAATATGATCATAGAAAATGTAATATTTCTTTATGAAATAAAATATTCCATAAATAAAATATCACTATAAGAAGGTTATATTCTCAAACCTCCACGCAATTTCGATTTTTAGAAAATAGAAAAAAATATTTTATTTTTATTCTCAAAAAACACGTTTTTATTACAAGGGCGCAGCTGAGGATTACCTAAGAGGGGGGGGGTCTGCCCTCCTCCCTGCAAATACGCTACTACATTAACATAATCGAATTTTTGGTAAAATCTATTTGATTACTTTCTTATTCTTGCCAAGGACGCAAGTATACCATTTTTCTGTTGTAAGGTGAATCTTGCAGGGTGGTAAGAGGATGGGGGGTTTCTATTAAGTCCGTTGTGTTACATTGATGTTAAGATTTTTTTTGGTAATCATGGACAATGACATGGAGATCAAGTCTCTAGAACGGTAGAACTTTACGATTTAAACTAACCGTTAAAAACAGCTTGCAAAAAGTCTGTACGTATCTAGCCCTATTAACAACCCTATTTGAGTATTAACTCAAAACCATTTTAGTTAGTTTTTATCTTTAATTGATTTTTCACTTCATGCAGTTGAACCAATAAAAGGCAAAATGATTTTCTTATTCATTGTTTCTTTTAATTTAAAATACTGATATGGATTTTGTATTTCGAATTATTATTATTACAGTGAATCCCAGATATATGAATACATAGCAAGAATTTTTATAATGTCGTATTCTCAACATATTCAAGATCAAATGCCGCAGAAAAACGAGTTTGATAAATCAATAGCTGTCTTGCATATTTCAGGGCTATTGTTTTACCTTGAATTAAAAATAAAAGGCAGTTTCTTAAAAATTATCAAAAGCTTATGACGGATATATTTTCATACATCGTGTTCAACCCTTTGAAACTGCGTACATCTCAGCCGCTTTCATTTTGTGCAGACCAATGATGAAGCATAACTGCTGTCATTTCAAGACGACATTTCATGCGCTCTTGCTATGTATTCTTATATGTGAGATTGGCTGTAGTATATTACCAAAATGGTAAAAACAAATACTTTTAAAATTCTAAAAATGTTACTGAATAATATTAACTGCGCGCTAAAATAATAACATTTGACTAGCTTTTGACACATTTATTTCGAATAAATATTAATTAAATGCTGCATAAAATATATTTATCATATTTGAATATCAGAAATAAAAGTACATACAGGATTACCTACGAATGATGAGACTTCAAAGACGACCTGTGTGTATGAAGATTAAATTTGATCTTTTGTTATGAAAACAGTTCACTTTTTGTTTACGAAATATGTGCCGTTAACCATGGAATGTAAAAGACTAAATACGTTCTGTTCCGTGTAGTCGTCTTTTCATTTGTGGGCAACACTATATGATGGATATATTATAAACATAAGTATATGGGAGTCAAGAACTATTGTTGAAACCCAAACATGCATTTCGATGGAGCAATTAAGCTGAATCGGCCTTTTTAAGTCTACTAGAGGTGTTCATTGATTCTCACTATACTTGCATCTGATCTTTTTTAAATTGTTAAATGTCATATCAAAGGTGTTAGGTAATAGTTGTTTTCTCCGAAATTTGAAAGTTCTCTGCTGGCAAATTGTTTAAATTATGCCATGCAAAGGAACTTTTATCACTGAGCTAACTACAAAAAAAAATACTTAAATCTATGCAATGTACGGTTAAAATCAGAATAAAGAGGAATGAAAGTCGCTTTGATCAATATCCTCTAATTACAAAGGTCACTAAAGGATGGTTGCATTAAAACTTATGTAATTAAATAAATTCATTGTTCAAAACTTATTTTAAAAGTTTCTAATTAAAAGATTGAATAAAGATGGCTTTGATTCCTCTCTATTCTGTTATCACCCCACAATAATAAAAAATTAAAAACCTTTAACATATCGAGTTCTCAATGCTATGGAAAATGTCCCAGAGGAAACCGACCTAATTATCGAGCATAGTTTTTCAGTAAATATCGAGCATTTTTAATTCCCGCGCGTTTTTACGAATCTAAGTATAGATGACTATGTCCAACTTCATCTACCAGCTTAACCAAACCTATTTTAAGATCTAATACATTTTTAGATCGGAATACTCTTAGTTCAGTTTCCTCTAGGTTGGGTTGTTGGGCACCAATAACTACGCATGATGCAAAAAATACAGTGTTTACATTTATACCCATGTAAGTTAGACATGGCAAATGATTGCGCTTGGTCCCATGTGCATTGTGCTTACTTTGATTAATATTCTTGAGAAAATCAAGTTTATCACAGGGCGTCCATATATCATATATGGATATTACTTTATCTCCAAGCTTTAACGTCAAAAATACGCACAAAATACAAAATGCAAGCAAATTTTTTTGCTTAATATTTTTTGCAAGTAAATTGTACATGTACTATGGATATTTTGAGCCCATATTCACGATTTCTTCCACTTTCACCATTTGTGCCAAGGTTTCACCAAGTTCTTTATAATCTCCTGGTTCTCGGAGAAGGATGGATCCGCCCCCAATCCTAAATCATATGTTCAGCTCATGATTTATATACAGAGACTGGTTCTGACAGTCCAAGGTGAAAACTAGAGAAACCAAGAAGTAAAGCCCCCCCCCCCCTCCCAAATTTACAAATTGGAAGAGTTATGAAAGATATTATCCGATATATTTAGCCAACTTTCATCGCAATTCAAATCTAGAAGAAGAAAAAAAATGAATTTCCCCAAATATTTATCTCTGCCGATATAAGTCCGATGGATAAAAGGTTGGAATGATTAATATTCACCTGGAGTCCTGGATCCAACCCTGAAATATTAAAATTTAGAAAATATCGGGTTTAAAGGGACTGTCTACGTTATTCTAAAAGGGTTGTTCTCCTATTTAAAAATACTTAAAATACGCGCAATTTTGGAATGAGATACACAAATTGGAACCATTAAAAGATTTCAGATTGCCGAAATTACAAATGATTTAAAAAAAATAAAAATGACTGATCATATCATGAGGTAGAATTATGGTAACCAAAATCAGTCAATTTGTTTCACAAGATTTTCCAAAGTCCACTTGTTTGTGGCAGTAACGATGGCGTCATTTGCAAATTAAAGGGACTGTGAGCGTAATTTCAAGTAACCGAGCACCGGTACCCTTAAACCTCAATTTGATCAAAATGTGGAAGATAACTTCGTTTTTCTGACTTTTCATTCTGATAAATTTTCAATTGTTATTTACAGAGAAACCACAAATGAAAATAAATGAAGTTAACAAAAACAAAACAAAAACATGAATATCTTGAGGGCACAGTTGTAAATCGGACAATGCCATCCTTTAAGTGCAAATAAATATAAATCCGGAAAATCCCATTGTAAATGAAACAATAAGGAAATCATATGTTATATGAGACTGTTCTAGCCTCGGCGCGCGGCCCCCTAACCTATCCTAGCCGCAGCGCTTGGCCCTTAAAGAGTCTTAACCTAACCTAACCCTAAATATATACTAATTATATACTAATCTTTCTCTTTCTTGTAATTCAACGCGGTAAGCGCGCATAACTCCTTTATGCAACTTCCCAAATTAGATATGTTGTTGTAATCTCTGCAGTTTGCATTATGTATGCATTAGTTAAAAGCAATTAATTAATTTGCCCCGGGCATGAAATTAGTTTTATCAAAAGAAAACATAGAACATAATTTTGATAAAATATTCAACTTTTAGTAGAAAGGTTTTCATCCATGTTTTCCTGGAAAATTTGTCTAAATACGATCTATTAAAAGGGAGTGACCGGCAATGTATGGTAGTTGAACTGAGAGTGTAGTATTGTAGAGAAATTTTTTAAGGATTCATTAGAGACTTATGAAACGTTTTAATGATGTATAATTACTGAGTTTCAGCGCAAAGTCGACTTTCAAAATCATCCATTTGGTTAGTTACGTTTTGAGAATCGATTTTTTAAATTATTAAATAACGACGACGAAAAATGTATCAAAAATTCGACAGTAAACTAATTAGATGTTTAGGTTCGTATTTCTCATAGAAATTTGCCAATAAAACAATGCTAGAATCAATTATTCGTTTTCATCATTATATTGAATTTATTATTTATCACGCAGATTTCTACGAATTCTTTAAATAACGTCTTTTCAATCAAAATTCCAGAAAATCTACAGAAAATGTTTGTGAACAATGAGAGATTTAGAAACTAATAACTGAATAAGATTGCTTATTTTTGATGATAAGATTAATTTTTATTTTCTCAACCTGTTCCTAAACAACTAATTAGTTTACTGTAGAATTTTTGTCACATTTTTTGTCGTCGTTATTTAACAATTTTAAAAAAATCGCTTCTCAAAACGTAACCATCAAAATGGATGATTTTGAAAGTCGACTTTGCACTCCAACTCACTATTTATACATCATTCAAACGTTTTATATGACTCAAATGAATCCTAAAAAATTTCTCAACAAACTATAACATTGCTCCGTTCAACTACCATACATACTTCCTTTAAATGTAAAATGCCGGAGTGGCTAAATTGTTGACATTTATAAATTTTAAAAATATTTCATAATGTTTAATTGATTATACAGGGATCCCTAAAACTGTGGAATATGAAGACAATATTTAAGCGATCCAATTTTTACCAGTAGCTTAAAAGTCTACATATCAAGTGAAATGGGTCTGTGTGCACTGCACAATTGCTGTGTTTTATGTTTATTGAACTATTTAACTAATACTTGAGTCCACTGTGGTTGGGTTCCACTGTGGTTGGGTTCCACTGTGGATGGGTTCCACTGTGGTTGGGTTCCACTGTGGTTGGGTTTCACTGTGGATGGGTTCCACTGTGGATGGGTTCCACTGTGGTTAGGTTCCACTGTGAATGGGTTCCACTGTGGATGGGTTCCACTGTGGTTGGGTTCCACTGTAGATGGGTTCGACTGTGGATGGGTTCCACTGTGGTTGGGTTCCACTGTGGATGGGTTCCACTGTGGTTGGGTTCCACTGTGGTTGGGTTCCACTGTGGTTGGGTTCCACTGTGGTTGGGTTACATATTTTACATTCCAAGAGACTCCAACATTTTAAAAATAGTTTTCTGTTAAAGTTTGTATTTAGAAAACTTTGCAATATTTTTAGAAAAAAGGAAGAAAAAAACGAACAAAAAAAGATCGTTAGAAACTTTTGTTTTTTGTTAGTTTTGTTTTGTTTATATTTTCTTTCAGTGTCAAACTTGGCATAATGCAATTGTAATTAAAGTAAATGTTGAAAATAAACAAATTTTAAATTGTGAAACTTCTCAGATTTTTGTGAAAACATCCCATCCGGCCGCCAGCCAGTCAGTTTCATCCGACTGGACCAGAGAGTAAGAAATATTTGTCTGATGTACATTTACTGTGTATACAATAACCTATTCTGAATATTTCATATACAAATGGAGTACCCGTCTGCAAAGCATGTATAATCATATGGTATGGCGAACCGCGTCAGCTACATCTCCCTCCTTCTATTCCTTACTCCCTAGACTGGACAGACAATCTAAACCAGCTGGTTCTCGGGAAAAAACGGAAGACCCTGATCGACATCATAATAATATTGACTACTTCGTAATCTCTTTCTTTAAAATTTAAAATGTTTTCAATAAATATGTTCCTACCATGTGCACGGTGAGTATTGCTGGGTTGAGTTGAACCCGGAGAATATTCTCCGGTTTGAAAGACTGGAAAACTTCTCCTTGTGGTTCCCGAACCAGGATCAGATCTAGAGATTAATTAGACCTGGAGTTGAATTGTATCATCAACTATTCCGTTTTATCATTTCATGCTTCAATATATTTATATCCATCTTATTCATATTTGTATGCATCTCTGTTCTATAGTGTGTACTTATTTACAATTTTTACTTCAAAAGGAATTGAGTCTTTGCCACAAATTCTGTTTTTGTAAAACCTATATCTTTGTAACCTTATGATGTAAACCTTTGATATTTCAAACTTACATTATTTGATCCAATAGCATTCATAGTTTGAAATATTAAAGGTCTACGACATTGGGTTACAACGATATTGAAATTAGAAAATCAGAGTTTGTGGCAAAAACTCAATTCCTTTGTATAATCTATCATTTAAGGTAATAGAATGAAAGGCTTTTCAGCTTCTCCCTAAATTGACAGAATATCATAATGTCATATTTGTTTCCATTATTTATCATAAAAATCTCCACTTATATGTTAAATACGCAATATGTTGATAAGTATCTTAAATGTTTTAAGTAGTTCTAAGATAAGATTAAGCTACCTATCGTTACTATACATCTATTCTAGGGTACATAAATACAATCCATAAGATTAAGCTATCTTTTAGTTACTATACATCTATTCTAGGCTAAATATATATACGTATTACGTATATATATAAGTATAAACCACTGGGGGTAGCTAAAATATATCTTTGTAATGTATATTTTGTTCAATCTAAATCCAACCTTATTTAATATAATCCCCAGTATGAACCATGAACATAAATTGTAAATATTTTGTATTTAACAGTTTCTGGATTTATGTAGTCTCTGCATTCAAACCAAACCAAACCAAACAAAAATTTTTTTTTTAATTTTGTTTATTCAAACAAAAGGAATTTTTTTATAGGTTTCTCCAGAATAATCCCATTTTTGTTGGATTAATTCAATTGAATGTGAAATATAAAAAGTTCTTCCTAATATTCTTATATTGGTTTTAAGTATATTATTTATAGTTAGCTGAGTCCAAATATATATTCAATATATATATATATATATATTTTTATTTATATCAAATTTACCTTTATTATTAATATGGAAGGAGGTGAGCCGATAATCCACAACATCATCTCTCATCTAAATATTTAAAAAAAAATTATTTCTAAAGTGAAGGATATCATGACCTTTGACCAGGCCTGGACGAAGCACTGCGGATAGGACATTGGGAAAATTGAAATAATTTTAAAAATTGAACATTTAAGGATGTCGTTATTTGGTAACTTTAAAGTTTAGTTTAAAGATGCAAAAGAAAATGCAAAAGAATTATATGAACTTACTTATGGACATCTAAAGGAATTGAACCTTTGCCAAAAGCTTTAGAGTTTCTAATCTCTATTTGAATTCGATGGTGTAAACCTTTGATATTTCAAACTTAGATTATTTGATCTTACAGAATTCATAATTTGAAATATCTAAGGTCTACGACATTGGGTTGCAAATATATATTAATAAGAAAATCAGAGTTTATGGCAAAGACTCAATTCCTTTCAAGCTCACGGGCAGCCCTAGTACATTAGAATTTCCGAGCCGGGTCAACCTTTCCGGTCCCAGTTTGTACTGTATCGTCCGGACATTGGGTAAATAAAGCTGACACTCAATAGGACTAGCCGGTTCAACAAGGTTGACGCGGTCAGACTTTAGGTCAGAGGTGCGTGAGCTAAATGTTCTAAATACATTAATTAAGATATTTTGAATAATCGAAAAAAAATCGCTAAAAAAAAAATTAGGCCTAACCTTGAAGAATGAAGCAGAGTGAAGGACGGATCTGGTCCATGTAGCAAGGTTGAGACTAGGAGAAGACAAGGTTAGAGAACTCCCAACCTGAATTAGAAATCTATTCCCTAGATCTGGAAGTCTGGTTGGTAGATCACTTAGCTCCAGGGTTAGAACTGGTAGCTCTCCCTCCTCTCTACAGCAATACAATACTCCGAACCTATAATTTTATCATGTTTTATTAAATTCTTGAATCTGCATTGTAAGAAAAACTGGACAGATTAGTTCGGGAAGATAAAACTGCATTTCCGCTTTACTAAACACATCTATTAGACTCAAATACACATTTAAACTATTGCTACAACTTATATATATCACTGGGAACACTAATCAAAACTTAGATTATTTGATCTAACAGAATACATAGTTTAAAATATCTAAGGTCTACGACATTTGGTTGCAAAGATATAGAGTTCAGACATTCAGAGTTTGTGACAAAGACTCAATTCCTTTGTTCTCCATCCAATTGATAGTTTACGAAAGATTTTATTTGAAAAACCAGCAACTTTTCAAAGAAATTTCTTCCTGGCTGTGCGACAAGCACTTAATCTTATTTCATAAATTGTGATAATATTTTTAATTGTTTTGCTATCTTTTCTGTTAAATGAGTAACTTATTATAAATCCTTGTTTTAGGTCTGTGTTCATGTTCAAACCTGTCTTTGTGTTGAGATCTGTGTTCATGTTTAGGTCTGTGTTCGTGTTTAGGTCTGTGCTGGTGTTCAAATTTTTGTTTCGTTTAGGTCTGTTTTTGTGTTCAGGTTTATGTTCCTGTTTAGGTCTTTGTTGGTGTTCGAATCTGTGTTTGTATGGAGGTCTGTGTTTGTGTTGAGATCTGTGTTTGTGTTGAGATCTGTGTTCGTGTTCGTGTTCGTGTTCATGTTCGTGTTCAGGTCTATACTGGTTATGAAATTTTTGTTCGTTTCGTTTTTATGTCTATGTTCATATTGAGGTCTTGTGTTCTTGTACAGGTACATGTTTATGTTCATGTTTAGGTCTGTGTTGGTGTTTGAATCTGTATTGGTGTTTGAATCTGTGTTGGTGTTTGAATCTGTGTTGGTGTTTGAATCTGTGTTTGTCTTGAGGTCTGTTTTTGTGTTGAAGTCTGTGTTAGTTCTTGATTCATGCAGTTTGTGTTATTGAGGTTATTGAACATTGAAGTGGATTTTTATTATTGAAGTGTGTTTGTATTGAATTCTGTGTTTGTGTTTGTGTTGAGGTCTGAGCTTGTGTTGAGGTCTGTGTTTGTGTTGAGATCTGTGTTTGTGTTGAGGTCTGAGTATGTGTTGAATTCTGTTTTTGTGTTCGTGTTGAGGTATGAGTTTATGTTGAGATCTGTGTTTGTGTTGAGATCTGTGTTTGTGTTGAGGTCTATACTGGTAATCAAANAACAGTAAAAATATTTATCCGAAAAGAAGGAAGGAAGGAAAACATCAAAGCAAAGGAATTGAGTTTTTGCCACAAATAATGATTTTACAATCGCCATATCTTTTCAACCTGATGGTGTAAACCTTTGATATTTCAAACTATCATTATTTGATCTAAAATGATTCATAGTTTGAAATATATAACGTCTCCGACATTCAAATGCAAAGATATAGGGAGAAGAAAATCAGAGTTTGTGACAAAAACTCAATTCCTTTGAGTTATATTTAACAAGAATCTGTCCATGGGAGGCCTTAAATATATAGTTTTTACTTCCCCCCCCCTCTTATATACATCCCTAATATCTAACGTTAAATGTGTAATATATATTTGATAAAAATATATTTGTAAAATAATTAATCTAATTCCGCGGAATTTTTTTATGGATAAGAAGAAATCTTGAAAATTTGCCAACTTAGCAAATAATTTTGATAAGTTTTTGCGGTCTTCCTGTAATCTTAGTCAACGTTAAATCAAAGATGAAAATATATTGGAACAAACGCACCAGAGTAAAGACAATAAAAATGAAAGGAGGAAAATTGTCAAATGAAAAATCTTTAAGATTTTTTAGTTAGCCATTCGTTTCGAATATTATTCGTTAAACGCTCTATATAAGATTGAGTCATCTAAATGTGTATACTTTGGTTGTTCTTTTGTTTGCGTCCAATAAACGTCAAAACTGCTGAACCGATCGGGCCCAAATTTTGTGTGGGACCTCACATGACCCCAGGAAAGGTTTATGGATGATTGAATTTTCAAAAATTTGCCTCTAACAAAATTCTATTTTTTTGAAAATTTTGAAAATCCACGATTTTTTTATGTAATCCACGAACTTTTTTTGTTTTAGTTTTACAATGTATTCAAAGAGAAAATGTTTACAATTGAAATAGAAGATTGCTGCGAAGAGCCCTAAAATCCTTGAAAATTAAAAAAATATTTTTGCTAAATCAAATATTTTTTACAAGTTTTTGCGGCGCCGTGAAAAGTAACTAATTATATATAAAAGTGAAAGTGTATAGTAAAGTGGAAAACTACTGTGAATAATAATAATTTTAGGTCTGTGTTGGTGTTTGAATCTGTATTGGTGTTTGAATCTGTGTTGGTGTTTGAATCTGTGTTTGTGTTTGAATCTGTGTTTGTGTTGAGGTCTGTGTTTGTCTTGAGGTCTGTGTTTGTAAAGAATTCTGTGTTTGTGTTCATATTGAGGTCTTGTGTTCCTGTACAGGTACATGTTTATGTTCATGTTTAGGTCTGTGTTCGTGTTTGAATCTGTGTTTGTGTTGAGGTCTGTGTTTGTATTGAATTCTGTGCTTGTGTGCGTGTTGAGGTCTGAGTTTGTGTTCGTGTTCGTGTTGAGGTCTGAGTTTGTGTTGAATTATGTGTTTGTGTTCGTGTTGAGGTCTGAGTTTGTGTTCGGGTTGAGGTTTGAGTTTGTGTTGAGGTCTGAGTTTGTGTTCGTGTCGAGGTCTGTGTTTGAGTTCGTGTTGAGGTCTTAGATTGTGTTCGTGTTGAGGTTTGAGTTTGTGTTGAGGTCTGAGTTTGTGTTGAGGTCTGTGTTTGTGTTCGTGTTGAGGTCTGTTTTTGTGTTGAAGTCTGTGTTAGTTTTTTATTCATGCAGTTTGTGTTATTGAGGTTATTGAACATTGAAGTGGATTTTTATTCAACCATTAAATTTAATCGATTCCTTGGATTTCAACCGTTGCCCATTAATGTAAAATTTATTGAACATTTATCATTTTTAGATATTAAAAAAAGAAAATAATTTCAGATAGAAAAAATATATAAATCGAGATATCATGATTTTTTATAAATAACAAAAGTTAAATTAAATATGGTGTCGTGAGTGTGTAAGCTGGAGAAGGAAAAAATATAAAGAAACCTTTCTAAACCTTTGATGTTAAACCTTGACATTCGTAGCTTGAAATATCAATCGTATACAAGATCACGTTGTATTTCAATATTAGAAAATAAGAGTTTGTATTTTATTAATTGTTTACCAATGATTATATTAAAATGTGAAAGAAGGACAATATTTGCTTGGAAACAAGGTTTAGTTTTCTCAAATATAATTATATCTATAAAATTTGGAAACAAGGTTCAGTTTTCTCAAATATAATTATATCTATAAAATATGGAAACAAGGTTTAGTTTTCTCAAATATAATTATATCTATTAAATATGGAAACACGGTTTAGTTTTCCCAAATATAATTATATCTATAAAATATGGAAACAAGGTTTAGTTTTCTAAATTATGATTATATATATAAAATATAGAAACAAGGTTTAGTTTTTTCAAATAAAACTATATATATATAATATAGAAACAAGGTTTAGTTTTCTCAAGCCTAACTCGTAATAATAATGTAATGATTGAATATTGAAACCTGAGAAAATAAGTAAAAAAATCTTGAATTATGATTTTAAAAGAAAAAATAGTCTAAACACTACACTCTGTAGTATCATAAACTTTATACATTTACACTCTACAATTCAATCTACTCTACTCATTATCAGTTTTAGTCTACACTTACAAACTGTAATCGACTTTTTAAAATAACCCCACCGGCCCTACACATAAATATGGTAAAAGTACTTCCTACTTGAGATAGAAGAATCCAGTGCTCCAGTCTCTAGTATCTGTATGATCTCCAACCTTATACCAGAATTCTCCAATAGGTTCCAACCTGAAAGGATTATAAAGAGTAACAATTATAAATAAAGTTTATATTTCCTCCAGACAACAATAAAATAAATTTACTGATGTCGATTTTTCCAGTTTACATTATTTTCCTTCTGTGCAGTGACAAGACCAAAGTAAAAATATTTAATCTAACTTGAGAAATTATTTTGAAACTCTTCTCTGGAAATTGTATCTCAACGAGTTTCTTTTCGGAATTTGCCATTACACAGATAAAAAGTTTCCTAATAACACTATAATAATAATAATATTTATTTCGGACAACGTTGAGTCAGTATTACAGTTATCTGTTTAATTTAAATAAAATTAGTAAATTTCTAAAATGAAGAATACCTATGAGATTCTTGGACAGAATTCCATTTTCCTAGAAAGCTTTGTACTTCTAGCTTTGTGTTGAGACGGGTAGGATGGAAGACTAGAAGGTGGGTAGAGAACGGGTTCCAATAGCGTATCTTGTACTCCAGGGCGGACATAAACTCCTGGGTTTCAAGGGCGGAGAGTAAGGTTAAAACAAGCCTGGAGTTCCCATGTAGAACCGTAATAAGTTGTCCAGTGTTTTCAACCTAAAAGATTAATAATGCTTGATATTAAATTTCTCGTATTTAATCAAGAAATGTAAATCAACTTTTTTTCAACTTCAACAATTTTTATTTCATCTAATGATTTTCATTATTCTCGCTTTGTCAGTAACCGTATAAGATGCAAAGAACTTTTCGCAAATAATGTTTTTTAAAACTTTATTCCCATCAGAGTTGAAAAAACCCAATTAATGTTGAACAATGAGCAGATTTTAAAACCAACCCTACAAACAGAAAATCAACTGGCAACAAAGAAATTAAGTCTATGTCACAAACTCAGATTTACTAATCTTTTTTAAACATTTATTATTTTTGTGAATTTTTATAAATTGATAAATTTTCATAAATTGACAGGTAATACGGAAATATTCCATTTTAATTATTCTTCTCTGTCCCTGGTTCTGTCAATTTGAAAAAAAAATTTTTTGTCGAAACTCGAATTTCTTGAGACTGGTCAGTTATTCATTTGGTGTTTTGTGAAAAGGGAGGGGAAATCCCTTTATCTTTGCAACCCAATGTAGTAGACATTTGATAATTCAAAATATAAATTGGTTGAGATCAAATAATAAAGTAAGTTTCAAAGAGCAAAGGTTTACAAAGGTTTTTTTTTCATTTGACAACCAATTTTTTTTAAACATAAAGTTTTTTTGTGATTTTATTTTACATTATTTAATATTGATTTTGATGGTTATTATATCGTTAGGGTCAACCCAAACCGAAATATATTTTCAAAAAAAGCTAAGATAATGGTTTACACCATCAGGTTGCTAAGATAAATGTTTACACCATCAGGTTGCTTAGATAAAGGTTTACACCATCAGGTTGCTAAGATAAAGGTTTACACCATCAGGTTGCTAAGATAAAGGTTTACACCATCAGGTTGCTAAGATAAAGGTTTACACCATCAGGTTGAGAAGATAAAGGTTTACACCATCAGGTTGCGAAGATAAAGGTTTACACCATCAGGTTGCGAAGATAAAAGGATTGAGTTTTTAGCAAAAGCTTAATTCCTTCCACCCTATAGATGGTACCTGTAGTGTGTGTATATCTAATACGGAGACTGTAATCCATCCCGTGGATTGATGTATTCCTATTGTAGGATAGGACTGGGGGAAAAGGAATGAAGCCGGGAGGAATCTTCCCAACTCATCACTCAGGGTACCAGTGAAGGTTAGAGCATTCTTATACCCGGAGAACAAATCTGTCTCAGAAACCAATTTATTTTCAGCTTTTAATAAATCATACAAAAAGCTGCGTGTTGCTGACAACAATCCAGGGGACATTAGTTCCATGTGTTTTAGAAATGGTCAAAAACGGAATTGAGTCTTTGCCACAAACTGAAATGTTCTAACCCCCTACGTATTTGATGTAATCCTTTGATATTTTAAACATGTATCATTTAATCTAACAGAATTCATAGTTTGAAATATCTAAGGTCTACGACAATGGGTTGCAAATATATAGGAATTAGAAATTTGTGGCAAAAATCTCAATTCCTTTTCAGATTGTGTTTAAGGATCTTGTCTCATATCCAGAGCAAAAGTCGATAATTAAAACTTTAAACTAGATTAAGCATGATGAGAAAAATTGTGAAATAGTTTTCTGAATTTAAGTTTTTAAAGAACATTTTCATATCAAAAATCAGACCATTTTTAAGAGGATGCAAGGTTTTCCATTTCCGAATTGGAATCATTGTCGCTTTATCGACAGAAACCTTCTTGGCAATTGTCGTTTTGAGTACAAACCGCAATTCAAAACAATATTGAACTGTATACTTTACGAAAAAAAAAGTATCATTAAAAGAATAACTAATAATTTCTAACACTCAGTGCTAGAAATCAGTCAAATCGCGGTTTGTAAACTGACATCCCCTGCAATAAGATTTCATTTTTATTTTTTACACTCTGCATTCTACACTCTACACTCTACACTCTACACTCTACACTCTACACTCTACACTCTACACTCTACACTCTACACTCTACACTCTACACTCTACACTCTACACTCTACACTCTACACTCTACACACTACACTCTAAACTATACACTCCCTTTAAAGACTACATTTCGGATCGGATCGGATCGGTTGGAAAAAAATAAAAAAAAAATTTTAGTATGATACGTACATTGTTCTTTTTAGTGACCCACCCTGTATTATATTCCCCAATTCTGTATTCAATAAGAAAATTGTTCAAAATTCAATTCTTATCTGCTAAACAAACATTTGAGTTAGGCTTCTTTCCTTGTGGTTCCGACTCTAACTTGAGACCAGATATCGGGTTGGAAGATCTGGTGGAACCTTGAGAAGGTTCCGGGATAAAACAAGAATCTTTCACTCGTTCTTTTCCTCTTTTCACAGCCTCGAGTTTCTGCTTGGATAAAGAATTCTTGTTTCCGTTAAACCAATTTTTCTTCCGGAGATAATTAGTTCTCTCCGGGTTCTCCTCACACAGCTTGTCCAGCAGTTTGTTCAAGGTCCTGTCCTTCAGGTTGGACGGACAGGGTGGAGGTCGGGGAGGACATGGTTGAAGTCTGGAAGGACAAGGTGGAGGTCGTGGACTAGAGAACCTAGGACTATGTAAAGCTAAATCACCAACCCCAGGACTATGGAAATCATCATCTCTTTTTAGTCCTAAACAATTCGCTAATTAAAACTATCATTAAAAAAGATTTCACTTACAAGTTTTTGGGGAGTAAACAAATTTATCAAGAACCTTTATGTCGAGAAACTTTTTTAAAACCTAATTTGGATTAAGACACCTTTCAAAGCTGTCTCTCGTCGTTGTTCAGTCACAAAAAAGGAAAAAGTTTTCTAAATTTCCTTTATTGAATGGATTCGCAAGTCACTTTTAATCAATGTTTGGAAAAATAAGGATAAATTAAAAATTTGTATGAGATAAAGGTTTAAATGGTAGGTATTTCATTAAAGGGTCAAGTGATGCTACGTCGACAGCTCCTTTAAGCCGTCAGCAGGGGCGGATACAGTTAGCGGTGAGCCGTGGAGCGGCTGCTCATCATTTAAAGGGAGTGACCAGGGAGTAAGGAATATTTCTTACTCCCTGGGAGTGACCGGCTATGTAATATAGTTGAACTGAGTATGCAGTGTTGTGGAAAGCTTCTTTAGGATTCATTTGAAACATATAAAACTTTTTAAATATCTGTAAATCCTGAGTTTGAGCGAAAATTCGACGTTCAAAACTCCTACTTTGGGGGTGGATATACGCTTTTAGAATCGGTTTTTTAAAAATTACTAAATAACGACGACGAAAAATAAAGTAAAAATCATACAGTTATCTGATTAGATGGTTGGGAACATATTTCTCAAAAGAAATTTGCCAATAAATCAATGCTAAAATCGATTATTTGGTTTGCATTCTTATATTGAATTTCTTATGTTCTTTGAATTTATTCGCAGATTTCCTAAAATTCTTCAAATGTCGTCTTTTCAATAATAATTCTAGAAAATCTGCAGAAAATCTTTGTGAATAATGGGAAACTAGAATAATGAGAAAATAGAAACTAAAAATTGAACAAGATTGCTTAATTTCGATGATAAGATTAATTTTTATTTTCTCAACCGGTTCCTAAACAACTAATTAGTTTACTGTAGAATTTTATTTTCATTTGTTGTCGTCGTTATTTAATGATTTAAAAAAACCGATTCTGAAAACGTATCCACAGCCAAAGTAGGAGTTTTGAACGTCGACTTTGCGCTCAAACTTAGGATTTACAGATCTTTAAAAAGTTTAATATGTCTCATATGAATCCTAAAGAAACTTTCCACAACACTGCATACTCAGTTCAACTATCTTACATAGCCGGTCTGTCCCTTTAAGCCATGGATTTAAAGTTAACTATGAGGAATTTGCCTAGATAACATTATTACATAAATGTTTTGCCTAATAATTTAATTAAAATATTTAAATTATGTAAAAGACAATTTTGTTTAAAATCCTAGATGAAGAAAATTGCATATTTCAATCTTTTAAAAACAATATCAAGGAAAAATATTTTCTCCAACAAACATCAGAATATGGTAATTTTTAATAAGAAGAAAAATTAAAGTTTTGTAAAACATGGATAAAGACTTACAGAATATTTAAGTTTCTACATTAATAATTCTTGAAATATGTTCAATTGGAAAAGTTTTCTGTAGAAAATATCTCTGTTTTTCTTTCCAGCAAATATAATATTTGATAAAATTAAAATATAAAGAGTTTCCTATAAAATATCAGAAAAGGGATAGAAAACAAAACTCTAGACTTTTATAATTGAAGTGTACAAATTTGAATACAAATGAAATTTGTTCGAACTTCAATGTGGTTTGAGTGAGTACAAAGTGGTTGCGATTAACACCTCAAGTGTCGATACACCTTTATCGTATTTCAATTAAGACAAGAAACGTTAAAATGTTCACATAATATTTTCTAAGTGTACACTGTACAGACAATTGAAATCCGCCAAAACGATTTTTAAAATCCAAAACAATTGTGTCCTGCATTTGTTCATCGAGTTCGTTCCCCCTAAAGTTTTAACCATTTCAACACAATGTTAGACAGAAAAAGCAATGGTAAAACATTTAAAATTATAAATAATTAACTGTTTTGTACTTTTAGATGATTTAAAAATTAGGTGTTTCGAAATCAATTTTCAAACTTTTTTTTTATCTGGGAAAAACAAGAACTTCATTTGAAAAAGTAAAATAATAGTAAAATTCCTTATTTTCAAATTACCTTCCCTGGGGCTCCGTGAGGCCCCACAAAAAATTTGAGCCCGATCGGTTCAGCCGTTTTGACGTTTATTGGATACAAACAAACAAACAAACAGACAAACAGACAGACAAGCCAAATTTATATATAGAAGATCTAACCTGGTGGGATGGCTCTACGAGAGCCTGGAGAAGAATGAGAGGGTTGAACAGGAGAGAATATATCCAAAGCCTGGATGATATCTACTCCGGTCTCATCTACAACCACTGGATCCCCTGAACAAATAGAAATGGCTTAGAAAATGGATTCGCAATATTTTGGCTTTCTGGATCCGTATCCACAAAAATATCCAAAGGCAAAAAATCAACCAAAAACTGCAAAAAAAAATCCTTTGCTCTAAAATCTCAAATCTGAACTATTGAAAAAAAAGATTATCAAAAATGGTCTTGTCTTTGAATGGTTCAAGTTGTTGCAAAATATTGGTGAAAAAAAGGAAAATACTTTCAAAAAGTTTTTCTTTTGTTGAATCTTAAATAAATCTTCAAGACCTGGATCCTTTTTTTTCCAGAGCGGAAAATCACACCGATTAATATAAATTTGAAACGGTATAAAAATTAAAAATTAATTATCTTAAATAATCTTAATCCATGTTTTTATTCCAGTTTGTTAAAATGAAAACTTCTTCAGAAAAAGTATTTTAATTTTGTTGCATCCCTAAAAGCTGTAAAATCAACATTATATTCACAATTTTAAAGAAAAATTTGCATTTAAAACCACAAGAGAAAGTCTAGCGATTAAGAAGATTTCTTTGTTTTGAATTTTCTTTAAGATTGTTTATTCAATTCACTGATTCAAAGAAAAGAAACTAAAAATAAAATTGCAAAATAAAGGGTGCAACACGAAACATGACAGTTGAGAGAAGGACTTTAAGAACGTCTTAAATCTTAGAAATGATTTGCAGCATTCATTAGTCCGCCTAATTTTAGTAGTAATATTGTAAATATTGCTTCAATTCAAGAATTACATTTCTAAAAGTAGGTTAACAAATGAATGCTACAAATTCTCCCAAAGATCAGGGATGATCTTTTAGTCATCTCTTAACTGCTATATTTTGTGGAGCAACAAGTATATCTTACCTGGCACAGTAGATCCAGAGAAGAAATATTTCTTCCAGGATCTCTGGAGCATTTTCTTAACGGAGCATCTTTCAAAATAGCATTCTTCTAGCGGATTATTCTTCTAGCGGAACACTCTTCTAGCAAAGAATTCTTCTAGCGGAGCATTCTCTCAACGGAGCATTCTTTTAGCGGAGCAATCTTCTATCGTGGCATTTTTTCTCCCAAAGAATATTTCTATATATGTATTTTCTACCAATGCATTTATATACCGGAGCTCTGAGCCAGTATTAAATCGAACCGGAGTAATCTTCTCACCAAGAATTATTCTTTCAGAGCATATCATCTTTTTGGTAATGTTTTCATCCATAGGATTTGTCTATTAGATCCGGATTTTTCTGGGAACATTTTGTAAACTGAATATTCCTGTGCTGAAGCCTTAAAGGATTCTTCTATGCTGACAATTTTCTATCATAGCTTTCTTCTAACTGAATAAGCATTAGACATCCTGGATCATTTTAAGGAAAATTTTTATAACAACTCCTGAAATTCATTTATTTTTTCAACAAATTTAACCTGCGTATTTTCCACATCAATTTTTTGTTTTTACTCTATTTGTTTGAGAGAGAATTGAGAGAAAGGTATTTGGAAAAATTCTATTATTAGAGCCGGAAATTGAGCCAATTAGTGGGTAATGGAATCCTATTAAAGCACTTTGTTCCTTTCATTACTACTCACTGGGAATTAATTATTTTTAAGTAGTTTCTTAATTTCCATCTGCAATATTCAAGAAATTTGGGAAAATATTAGGAACAGTTAAAATTCGTATTGTAAAACGTTTAACAATAAAATTAAATAAGAAGTTTTTTTTAGATTCTTACTAAAGATTAAAATTGATAATTGATGTCCAACGCCCATACAACAAATAACTTTTTGAAAATATTATGAAAATTATAAAATGGTTTTATAATTTTCGGTCATGGATTTATGGTCATAAAAAGTATGGAAAGAAGTCTATAAAGGACCATATTTTGAATACACTCACGTATTTTTTATAATAAAATGACAATATATTTTAGGGTCGAAGAAGAGTCGTCACTTTATCCCCATGTTTATTGGGACACCCTGTACTAAGCACTGCACTGAAGAATACCTTGAATTTAAGCTAAAAAACTGTACTGTTCAAGGTACCCCAAAAGCTTTGGTTATTAAAAGATTTGATTTTCAGTTTGAAGAATTAACAGCACTATTTTTTTAAGTTTTCCCAAAAACCGCGGATTACTCTTTTAAAACAAGATATAAGGGCCGGGGGAAAGTGTTTCCTCAGGCAAAATATCATGATTCTCATGATCAATTGTTCAGATGGTCAGTGGTGACATCCAACAGGGATATTAATTGTGACGACAAGATGTGTGTTCTGATCTGTCTAAAATGTGACAAACCGTCTTTATCTCCTAAAAATAAAGAGACTTGAAGTTCAAATTAACAAAATGACTTAAATCTTAATCATTGTTAAAGGTACATATAATGTGACAGACCACATTTTGAAATACCCGAGTTATAAGAATTACAATGTTTAATTAATCACCGTACCCACGAATGATGAAACTTCAGAATTGAATACATTTAAAGTTAGATAAAAGACGATATTTTCCACCAAGTATTGATAAGATAATGGTTTTAAGTGTACCATTGAAATATGGGCCCGTCCCTCTTTGATTGATCTGTACTACGCCGACAGTTCCTTTAAAGTGAGATTAACCTCTCTTATTCATATTTCGAATTCGTCCAATATTAACAGTAGGCTTTATAGTTTCATAAACAACCCTGGACACTTGTTTGTCAAGATGAATTCTTTGTTTTTATTGAAGGATGAATTCTCCGGAGTAAGGTTAGAACCGGGTTGATCAGCTGACTAGAATACTGGATACTCCCTTACAAGGCTTTCCTGAGAAAGTAGAATGGGAGCTAGAGATAGATATGTGTATTTGTTACATTGTATTATACAGACTCTTGAAGAATTTGATGCATACACGTATACAAGGGGGAGGGGGTCAAGGATATAGTGCCCCACCCTATTCAGTCTTTAAGTCCCCTCCCCTTGAAACTGAAGAACACCGAATGAATTCCCTTTCCCACATCTTTCAGGCCCTTTCAGGCAATTCATTTGTCATTAAATCCTTTGAATTAAAGAAAATTACTTGAAAGTAATAAAGAAACTGGACAAATATGGAGTTTAGACTCTGCAAACCAGGTCACCCGATTTTATTGCGCTTTGAATTCGGATCCGTTTACCCTGGAGGACTCTAACCTAATAAGACGGGAGGAATAAAGCAGGAATAGAATATTAAATGTTAAGATAATATATATATAAATGAGTTCAATATTCTTTTTTACTCCACCCTGGAAGTACAGGGTATCCCATGAAACATGACAGTTGGTGATTCTTCCATACATCTGTATTGATATTGAAGACTTTTTGCTGTTTATTTCGTGAAAAAAATCTCTTATACTTAAATATATTTTACTTTGAAATCGGTAGTCTTTATAGGCTTTTGGGAAGGGGTGGAGCAGTGAATACACCCCTTTGAATGGTTCAAGTTGTTGCAAAATATTGGTNGAAGTTTTAGCCTTCTAAAGAGAATACTTCATTACACAAGATGTATTATGACGGAGAGCAGACCTAACGATTATGCACTTATGGCTCACTACTGAGAAAATCATTGAAATGTTTGTGCAAGCAAATCCAAGAAAATTGTAGCTTAAAAGATTTGGTGAATATGTAGATTAAGTAAATTCTATCTACAAATTTCAGAAAAGATTTCGTTTATCAGTGAAAATATGATTTTTAATGATGCTGTGATTATTGATTTAGTTAGCTGTGATGGAGTTAAGTGTTAAATTTATAAATTTATAAAGTTAAAAAGTGAAAGTTAGTTTTTCGAGCAAAGGAATAAATTTTAGAATAAATTTTAGACTTAGGTTAGTAACATCCAAAAATGTAGTCTTTTTGGTGTATTTTTATGGTGTTAATTAAATTTTTGAACAAAACAATTCCAGGGGGGGGCAAAAAAATTTTTTTCGCGCTTCGCGCGAAATCTTGCCCCCCCCTGGCTAAAATCCTGTGTACGCGCCTGGTCAAGAGTATCTTTTGAATCCCCCTTTTCTGGAGACTAACTTAAAGGTTTACTTTAATCTAAGTTTTAACCAACTTTGTAAGTATATGTTGAATATGATTCTTTCTTTCTTAGAAAGTTTATCATGATATCAGCATTGAAACCCATTATAGTTTTTAGTAACATTACAGCAACACTAATACGAAAATTTGTGACATTTTTCAGAAATTTTACATAAACAAAATTGTATTCTGCTTGGAATTCTTATAGGCAGGTTTTGAAAATAAAATGTTTACAAAAATCAGAAATGGATCCCTGAAATGAGATGTAATGATAAAAAATGTAAAAAAAATAATAGAAATGAAAGTTTAAATTTTAAACAGAAATTCAATACATTGGTATATTCATACTGGGTTAAGTTGACCGATTGAAAGCAAATAAAAACATTTGCGAGTACTAAAAAAATATCTAGATAGAGAAAAAATTTATTTTGAACATAGATTGCCTAAATTTCAATATTTTTGAACTCGCAAAGTTTATTTTGTAAAACAATGCATTTTAAAACTATGCCTTAAAATTCCAAGAAGAATACAATTTTACAAAATTGCAAACTCCTAAATGATAGTATTTGATGAAAAAGTTTGTTTCTTCTAAAAGAAGATATCCTAGATCGACCTTATATTTACTTGCTATCTTGTTATATGTCAATTTTTTCTTGCATTAAAAAAAATTTGAAATTACAGTTCTAAGGTGGCAATATTTTTACACATCTTGAGAGTAATTTGTTACTTTTAGAGCTTAAATTACTCACCCTCAATGCTAATTTATTTTTAAAAATTGTGGGAGGCTCCGCCCCCTCCTCGCTCACAAGTTTCGTTCGTAGCTCCCCCCTCCCATCCCAGTTTTAATGGGAGTTGGACCCCCCCCCC